ACAACTCCTTGCTATTGCAAGAGGACTGAAAAGAAGCAATATTTTCAGAACAGAGCCAAGCTTCACTTAGTTTTGAGGGGAAGGGGTCCAAACCAAAGGTTTTCTTGATAAGTAATTCTTATTCTAGTATATTTATTGACTATTTTCTGATTTTAGAGAAGAGTTATATGAGCCCTGGCTGGTGTGGCTTAGTGGACTGAGTGCCTGCCTATGGACCAAAGAGTTGCCAGTTTGATTCCTGGTCAGGGCACGTGCCTGGGGTGCAGGCCAGACCCGCAGTTGGGAGCGCGAGTGAGAGGCAACTGATCCATGTATCTCTCATGCATTGGTGTTCCTCTTCCTTTCTTTCTCCCTCCCCCAACTCTAAAAACAAACAAACAAACAAATAACATAACATAACATAACATTCATAACATAACATAACATAACATCATAAAAGAAGTAGGTATATTATGTTCCAATGTAGTTAATTTAGTTAGTGTTTGGGATGAAATGAATTTTAGTGTTTATTAAAAGCATATGTTCTGTTTAAGTTTTGTTAAAATATTCAGAATGTAATAGTCTTATCATCCTTACTTGCCAGCAGTTCCTGCTCCCTCCCTGCCCTTCACCCAGTTACTGCCATCATTTTTGACAAAAGAGATAAAGGCTGACATCCACACTGTAGCCTTCCCAATGGAATCTGGTGCCTCCCTAGAGTTACACTTGCTTAAATACTTGTTTTCTTTGGGTTGGGTTTCAGGGAGGGGTGGGGAGAAAATGCAAACAACTTTAACTGAACAACAATAAAATAATTAAAAAATAGTACATAAAAATAAATATGTGTTTTCTACTTGTGAACCATTGTTTTGTATTATTGTCTTCTTGAAGGAAGTTGGGGAGAACAATAACTTGGATAACTGCTTCTCCATCTGTCATTGTCAATCTAGGAGAAAAACTCTTTATTTTTACTACTTTTTTATTATTAAAAATTATTTTTCTGTCATACTGTTTTGGTGGTGATGAACTCCTTTAGCATTGTCTGTCTGGAGAGTTCTTTGTATGTCCTACAATTCTAAATGAGAGCTTTGCTGGGTAGAGTGATCTTGGTTGTAGGTCCTTACTTAACATCACTTTGAATATTTCTTGCCAATCCCTTCTGGCCTGTGAAGTCTCTGTTGAGAAATCCGCTGACAGTCTTATGGGAACTCCCTTGTAGGTAACTAACTGCTGTTCTCTTGGCCGCTTTTAAGATTCTTTCTTTGTCTTTAACCTTTTGCATTTTAATTTTGCCATGTCTTGCTGTGGGCCTCTTTGGGTTCCTCTTGTTTGAGACTTTCTTGTGCTTCCTGGACTTGTGTATCTATTTTCTTCTTCAGGTTAAGGAAGTTTTCTTTCATTATTTTTTTAAAAATAGGTTTTCAATTTCTTGCTCTCTCTCTCCCCTCCTTTTGTCACCCCCATGATATGAATGTTGGTATGCTTGAAGATGTACCAGAGGCTCATTGCACTATTCTCACTTTTTTGAATTTTTTCTTTTTGCTGTTTTGATTGGGTGTTTTCTTTTTTTGGCTTCTTTATATTCCAAATCACTGTTTTAATTCCCTGCTTTATCTACTGTACTGTTGACTCCCTGTAAATATTCTTCATTTCTAACTGGTTCTTTTTTATGGTTTCCATGTTCTTTTTTATGCTGTTGAGGTTCTCACTGAGTTCATTGAGCATCCTTATTACCAGTGTTTTGAACTCTGTATCTAGTAGTTTGCTTGCCTCTATTTTGTTTAGGTTTTTTCCCTGACATTCAGTTCTGTTCTTTCATTTGGGAAATTTTTCCTTGTCTCCTCATTTTGGAAGACATTTTCCTCGTCTTCTCTCTCCCTGTTTTTGTTTCTGTGTTAGGTAGAGTTGCTAAATCTCCTGGGCTTGGCAGAATGGACTAATGTACTAGGTATCTTGTAGGGTCCAGTGTCACAACCTCCCTGTTTATCTGAGTTAGGTGCTCCAGGTGCACCTCTCCCCCTCTGTGGGCTGTGTACACCCTCTTGTTTTAGTTGATCCTTGATTGCTGTTGGCATGTCAATGGGAGGGATTTTCCACCAGGCTAATTTGCTATAAGAACTGGCTATGACTACTGTGGAGGATTACCTGCATAGACGACCCCACTCCATGGAACAGGAATTACTCCAGTGAGGCTCTGGTGCCTGCTGAGTCTGCCCCATTAGTGAGTTGCTTGTGCAGGTGATTTGGTGGTGCTTTGACATGTCTGAAGTGGTCCGCAGAGTTCACTGACTCTGGGGCCTCCTAGGATGTGCAGGCCAAGGTCAGCCACCTCATATGTTCTGCCCGAGGCAAGCTGGCATGAGCTACAAAGTGATCTGCAGATGGCTGCTACTTGTGCTGGGCTTCGAGGTGCCAAAAGAAGCCAAGCTGGGAAGCAAGGCCAGCTGCTGCTACTGCCAGGCCTGGGGTCACTTAGCAAGTGGTATGAGGCACAATGAGGCCGAAGCTCCTTATTTGAAAGATTTTAGGAAAATCTAAAGCAAGAAGCTAGACAGGCCATTCCATGGAAAAACCAATAGAAGCAACTTTTGTGGACCCACAGGTTGTGGGAGCGGGGTCTCAGGGAATCACCAGGGCTGGGTGAATGGTGATAGCCAGGTTGATGTAGACTTAAATATGGTGCTATCCTGCCAGCTCTGTGGGAGAAGGAGTTTGAAAAGGAACAATGGTCTCTGCCTGCACTTCTGTATGTGAGAAAGCTGCCCCTCCAGCTCCGGCCCTGATGCCAGACACTTCAGTTCCTTCTGGTATGTCCCTGGTGTCTTTCAAGCTGCTGTCCCAGCACTGGAACTCAGAGCAAATGAGTCCAGGTACATCCATGTGTGCAGCCTTTATGAGAAACTGCCTGGGACTCCCGAAGCCCTCTCTCTCCCTCTGCCACAATCCCCATTGGTTTTTACAGCCAAAAGTGATGGGGACTTGTCTTCCTAGCACTGGAAACCTGGTCTGGGAGGCCTGATTGGGGGCTGGGACCCCTTATTTCTCAGGAGAGATGTTTGCAGCTGAGTTATCTCCCAATTTTATCTGCCACACGTTAGTATAAAAACAGCCTGCTCTGTATTTCCTCCCTTCCTACCAGTCTCAATGTGGCTTCTTATTTATATCCTTAATTGGAGGACTTCTATCCAGCTGGATTTCAGGTGGTTCTGAATGATGGTTGTTCTGTAGTTCAGCTGTAATTCTGATGTAGTTGAGGGAGAATGCAAGTACTGCATTTACCAATGCAGCCATCTTGACTGGAAGCCTATTTTATTTTTTTGAAGGACACATCAATGTAGAAACAAAAGGATTTTACTGTAATAATATGTAAAACATTGGTTTAAAAATATAATTATCCAGTTGAATTGCCTTCCATTCACTTTATATTTTTCAGTTGATGAATGTCTGCCACAGGAACAGATATAAAAACCTGGCCTGTGGAAATACAATCGGGCTTGCTTATCCCATCTTTCCTGAATTGTGATTTTGTATTTAAATTTTATGAATAACAACCTTGAATTTAAATAGGAATTTGAAGACATTATTGTATAGTAGAAAAAAATTCTTCCTTGTATTTCAAGGAGGAATTATAATGAAAAGGGTAGTTTGCCTCCTATGTTTGTTGACTGTGGGGGCAGCTTTGCCTGCAAATTCCCCCCCCCCCCCCATCCACCATGGATGGAAGTGAAACTACCAAGATGTGATCTGCTTGGGGAGGAAAGGTGGCTGATCACTCAAGGGAGAAGGGCCAAGAGCCCCTTCCTCAAGGGGCTTTTATTGGGTTCATTTGCACAAGAATATAGGTAAGGATCAAACAATAGATAGCATTCAAAGAACTATGAGGGCTTATTCTCAGTCAGGGTCAGATAGCTAAAGAGCCATAAAACTTTGAGGAACAAACTTCTTGCTTGGACCCTTATCATTGAAATGAGAGCATTCTAAACAAGCAGGTTTCACAGCATTTTACACATTTTTTCTTAGGCCTGATCCCAGGGTGGGGGGGGGGGAGGTGGCGCCCTTTCCAGCACAGGGCTGCACTGCCTCCTCCATCATAGGTTTTCAGGCTTAAGTGGATTAGAGCCAGGAAGTGCTTCTCCCAGACAGAAATGGGGACTCAGGCTATGTCAGAATAGCTGGGGAGCGAGAGTCCATCACTCCCTCTTTGTTGCAGCCCCCAGAGTCCTTCCATGATGGTCTCCCAAGGGATCGTGTCTGGCTTAGGCTGCTCCTCCTCTGAGGGGTCATACCTATCTCTGACTAACCGACCAAGCATTGGGGGCTGGGGAGAAGCTTTGTCTTCTTAGTGGCTTGCATTCCAGAGGTTGCTCACTCAGCCTTAGCCATGGGGGGCCAGTTACAACTCCTGAAACCAGGCAGAGTGGTTCCCAACTGCTGACTATGTATAAAGTAGTACAAATCAAATATACTTTTTCTAAATTCTTTTTTTAAACCCCAGCTATGTGTAGCATACTTAACACAACTTATTGGTGTCAGTATAATTTGTTAGGCATTTGGTTAGAATGTAAGAAAAGTAAAGCAAAGTCCTTACTTTAGTGAGCTCATTCACTGGTGAGGAATAGAGTGGACTCATGTTAATATAAGGAAAAGTGCACTAAAGGCTTCAATCGTTCATATTTTAAAAGTTAATAGAGAAGAATGACAGAAAGGAGATACTTTTTTTTTTGATGCTTCATATAACTAGTCTCATAACAAATATTTGAAGATGTTCATTATGAATTAGAAAGTAGATAAAAAATCTTGTGGAGAAGTTTAAAATTAATAGACACTAATAACTAATATATTTATGCTAGCAGAAGTTCCTGGCTCAAATATCTGGGAGAAAAAGAAAACTTAATCACTTACCGCCTGTGGTATTTTTGTTTTCTGTTAAAACCTGGCTTCAAGTTTTTCCTGTGTATCAACTTGTGTTTCTCTTGTGTCATGTGTTTCCAATGATAAGAAATGCTTTCTCTTTCTTCTAGGAGAACATATAGATTACTGTGGATATTCTGTTCTTCCTATGGCTATAGAACAAGATATATTAATAGCTGTGGAACCTGTGAAAGCAAACACTCTCCAGCTGTCCAATACAAATCCCCTATACCCGTGAGTATTTAGGATTGCTGTTATGTGTTTGTATTTGTACCCAAATGAACTCTTTAGGAGATACCAAATTTATAATAAGTTATTAAATTAATTGAAAATTTGTATCGGGGTTGCAAAAGAACCTAAGGCTACTACTTAATACTTGTTTATTTTGTTCATTTGCTCATTCATTTAAGGAACATTTACTGAAGATGTGTCATGTTTCTGGCATTATTTTGAGTAGATTACAAGCTCTGTGACTTCAGGTACTGTTGCCTCCCCTCTTCGATGCTGCAGCCTCGGTGTCAAACAGAATCTGGTACATAACAGATGTCAGTTTGTAGTACCTGTGCTTTGTTAAATTAAGGATATACTTTTTTGTTACTGTTTGTAATTCTTAGTTTGCTAAGATTAAAACATAGTTAATGGGTATCAATTTTTTAAAATGTCTGCTCAATATTGGAGATCAGTTTATTAAAAATATTATGAATTATACCCATAATATTTATTATAAATATTATGAATTAGATGAATTTTCTAATATTGAACTCTTTTCATTTGTGAGATAAGACCTACTTGTTAATAATATATTATGATGGATGTGACTTGCTAATTACAAAAAAGATTTTGGCATATAATTGGCATATTATAGTTTTGGCATATTGTTCATGGGACCATTTGCCTGCGATAATGTTTATTCTGCAATTATTTTATGTGTGCCTTTGATAAGGCATTATAGAAGGTTGTGCAAGATACAGAAATTCCTTACTTTTGTATGGGACTTATTGTATCAGATCCTTTTACTTTCTATTTATTTTGCATAATGAAGAATATATTTTATGTGCATTTGGACTCTTTACAGAAAACCTTACATTCATTATGTCAAACACAATTTTGCCATTGTTTGCAAACACTTAAAATTGGGTGCATAATATTAATAATTTGTCATATTGACTTATTCAGATTTATTTAACAATTCCCATGATAATAAATATGTGATTTCAGTTCTATTTTTTCTCAGAAGCAGAGCCCGAGACAGACTTGAATGAAGGTGGAGTGTTTGGGGACGGCTCCCAGGAGGGTAGTGAAAGAGCAAGGGGAATGAGTGAGGGGGGCGGAGCAGAGTTATCAAGTCAGGGGCACTTTCTGCTGCAGATAAGCAGCTTTATCCCACAGGACCTGAGAAGTACGCAGCACGCCTCCCAGAATGGGTCATATGTGTAACACTCACTGCATGCAGATGCCATATGTGTTTATGTATGCACTATTGATGGGCATTTTGATCATTTCTAGTTTTTGGCTATTATGAATAATGCTACTAAAAATATTTGTGTACAAATCTATGTGTGGACATGTTTTTCATTTTTCTTGGGTTAATACCTAAGAGTGGACTGCCTGGTTCACCTCTTCAAAGAATTTACCTGTTTTCCAAAGTGGTTGTAACAGTTACACTCCCACCATCGGTGGGTGAGAGTTCCAGCTGCTCCACATCTTTGCTAACATGTCTTTTTGAATTTTACCTACTATTATAAGTGTGTAATAGTAGTGCATTGTGGTCTTTAATTTCTCTAATGATGTTGAACATCTTGTCATATATTTATTTGTCATCTGTAAATCTTTTTTGTTTAAAGGTCTGTCCGAATCTTTTGCCCATTTTTAAGTAGGTTTTTCATCTTCTATTATTGACCTGTAAGAGTGTCATATATATTATAAATACAAATCCTTTGTTAGATGTATGTTTTGCAAAGTATTTCATCTAGTCTGTGGCTTGAATTTTCATTTTCTTTACTGTGTTGTTTGAAGAAGCATAGTTTTTAATTTTGATGAAGTTATACTTATTGATTTTTTTCTTTTAAAGTTTGTAATTTTTGACTGTAAACGTTTAAGTAACCTTTGCCAAACCAGAGCTTGCTAGACATTTTTTTCCAGTGTTTTCTTCTAGAAATTTTGTAATTTTAGTTCTTACATTTAGGTAAATGATTCACTCTGAGTTAATTTTTGCATAAGATGAGGGCTGAGGTTTATGTGTTTGCATGTGGCCATCCAATTTATTGGAAAATGTATTTTTTCCCATTGCATTATTGTGACACCTTTGTTGAAAGCAATGGACAATATTTGCATGGACCTATTTCTGGACTGTATTCTGTTCCATTGATGTATTTGTCTATCTGTATGTCAATACCATACTATCTGAAATCGTAGCTTTATAAGCCCTGAACTCAGGTAGTAAATCCTCTAATATTGTTTGTCTCTTAAGAATTTGTTTTGGCAATTCTAGATCTTTTCACTTTCTCATTACCTTTAGAATCAGCTATTCAATTTCTTTGAAAAAGCATGCTGGGATTTTTATTGGATGTGCACTGAATATATACATCAGTCTGAGAAGAATTGACATCTTAACAGTATTTAGTTTTTCAATTCATGAACACAGTATATCTCTCCATTTATTTAGGTCTTCAGATTCTGTCAGAAATATTTTGTTGTTTTGAAGGTATATGTTTTGAAAGTCTTGTTAATTTTTTCTCTATTTATTTTGTGATAATATTGTTCTTATATTCATCTAGCCTAGTGCCTGACAAAAACAGTGTGGCCACTGGCACATGTTTGTTGGAAGAACAGGTGAATGAATGAATAAAATGTGTAAGTGGAATGTGAGTCATGTCTGCTCATTTTGAGACTTTTTCTTAGCATTCATCAACATGGGTGTAAGAACGGAGAAAGCAGATGGGTGATGTAGTGTGGGAACAAAGGTTGGTGGAAAAATGAGTGCCTGTTTTTGAACTGTAGGAAAAGGCTAGGCAGAGAAGACAAGGATGGGAGATGATATTCTAAGTAAATACCATTCAAAAGAAAGCAGGCGTAGCCACACTTAGGACAAAATAGACTTCAAGCCAAAAAGGGTAATAAGAGACAAAGATGGACATTATGTAAAGATAAAGGGGACATCAAGAAGACATAACATTTATTTACATATACACCCAACTCAGGAGCACCAAAATAGATAAACTACTAACAGACTTAAAGAGAGAAATTGATAGCACCACAGTAATAGTAGGAGACTTTACACCCCACTTACACCACTGGATAGATCCTCCAAAGTCGACAAGCAAATATTGGCCTGAAATGACATAGTGACCACGTACACTTAATAGACATAGAACATTCCACCCCAAAGCAACAGAATACATATTCTTCTTAAGGGCCCATGGGACATTTTCAAGGATAGATCATATGTTGGTTCACAAAACGATGTGAATAAATGTAAGAAGATTGAAATACCAAGCATCTTTTCCAGAAACCAAACTCAAAGTCATGGAAGATTGTGATCTAAATGATGGAGAATTCAAAAATAGATGTTAAGAAGAAACTCAGTGAGAGGCAAGGAAATTCAGAAAGGCAATTCAAGGAGCTAAGGAATAAAACTGTCGTTTTCTTTTTGTGATACCTTGTTAACGTGATGATTCTTGGTGCTTGCGGGGTGGTTCCACTCCCCGTATATTTGAAGTATGGAACACTTACTTAGGCACAGCTCTGATTTTACCAGTTCTTCAGCAGGGTGGTAGTCAGAGGCCCTTTCCCCGCCGGGAGATGGTGCTGTGGCACAAGTTTTCGGTTTTTGTTTCTCGCGCTGAGTGCATCTGAGAGCCTGCATTTCCCACCTCCCACTGCCCTGCCAGACGGGTGGCAGGTGCCCTCCGCACTGCTACTTGTGCCTCGATGCTCCCAGGGTCAATCTAGTCGCCGGTTTTGCTGTGTGGGCATCGCTGCCAGGGTCACGGGGCGGCGTGTGCCCCCATCGCTTCCGAGGTTGTCTGGGTCTCAGGCCACCTTGGTGGGGGTGGATAGCAGGGATTGGGGATGACGAGTCTGCGCCACTGCTGCTTGATTCCCTGTGGCCGTTTACATTTCTGTGGCCAGGAGGTCAGAGACTCGACTCCTCCAGGGATGCAGGTCCACTGCAGCCAGGGCAAGGAGCCTGAGTTCTGGGTGCTGGTAGCACTGCTGTCCTTTTTTTTCTTCCCCACTCCCACCCAAACCCAGGCCACGAAGGGGGCCTGAGTTGCGGCCTGGTTGCCATGGCTGCAGCTGCTCTTGCTAGGACTCTGGGCTTAGCTACCGCCCCCAGGGACCCGGGGTCAGTCAGGAGCCCCATTCCTGCTGTCCGGAGAGTCCCCCAGCCGGCCCTGTGCATTCCACTTCCCCACCTCCCTGTGCACAGCTGTGTGGATCTCTCAGGCACCCTGGCGTCCTGAGCAGAAGAATCTTGAGTTAATGGATGTCCCACCAGTTGCAGATTGAAAAGGAGAGACACAGGGAGCATCTCACTCTACCCTGATGCTGACATCACTCTCCCAATATCTTTTAACTTCTGTGGGAGACAATAAAGTGCTTGTGATCTGGACAGACTGTGTCCTTCGAGTCCCTATACCTCCCAGCCTCCAGGAAGGCCCCTTCTCCTCAGCCCGTTATGCCGACTGTGGAAATGATGCTGCCCTCTTGGCCTCCTACCCCACCCGTATCACATCACATGACAGGCTGCGTGCTCCTGCCTGTGTCCATGTTGTCTCTGCTAGATTACGGGTACTTAAAAGATGAGCCCTTTTCCTTTCTGTTCCTCTGAACACCTTGCACACTTGAGTGCTCCTTAAACATTTTCCTTAGGAGGTGATGTATTCATGTTACCGAGTGAAGAAAATGCACGCAGGGTCCCTGCTGCAGTGACTGGCACATAGTAGGTATTTAGTAAGTTATGTGAAGAGCACTCAGTCGACATGAGGCATGTTGCTTATTTCCTCACTTTAAATTGATCTCTGCCCACTTTCCATTTCACATATTTTGTCTTTTGGCTGATTTACAAGCCTATCTATTTTTAATTTTTGGAATAATTTTTGACTTACAAAGAAGTCAAAAAACAGTACAAAGTTCTACACATCAACTGATGCGTCCTCAGCCATCATATGGAGGAGGCGCGTGGTGTGCGTTTATCCGTGTTGGTTTTGATGACCTGGTTGGGCGGTGCTCCAGCCGGAGCTCTCCACCGCCAAGTTCCAGAATCTTCTCCTTGCGGAAAGTGTCTGGTGCGGAAATACCTGGAGTGGATGTAAATATCTTTTATCTCATCAAATTTTTACTCAGTAACTTTAGCATCCAACGATGATTCTTTCCTGAAACAGTTACCATGGAGTTTGTCAAATAGCGATTTTTTGATTTCCTTCATTTTTCTAATTAGTTGGCAGTTTACTCTAAGGAAGAGTTTTTTCTTCTCCTTCATGTAGCTATTTATTCATCTGTTCATTTATATAGGTATAGATTCATGGCATCTTATTTTATTAAGTGAATTGTGGTCCATTAGCAGCATCATTATTTGTTTTATTTACTTCCCCCTCCCCGCCTTAAACTGTGGATATGGTAAAACTGGATGGCTGGTGGAGCGTGTGAGGAAAGAAGGCTTTGAGCAAGTGTTCCAGTCAGAGGTGTGCGGAACAGCAGGGCCACAGGATGAGGCTTCCACTAGCTTTACCAGGACCATCCTGAAATAAACAGTGGTGTGCATTAAGCTACAACATGCCAGTTCCTCTGTTTCAGGAAATAAGGGTCAGTTGGAAGTAGTGTAGTTATCAAGGTCACCATAACTTTTTCTCCTAACTTGTAGCAGCTGGAGATGGGTGTTGTTTTGGGGTAGACTGTGAAGTGCATGTATTGGAAGTAAATGGGAAGTGCGATTTCGGTATCACTGCCTTGGCACAAGGTGGCGGCAGTCAGCCGTCGATGCTGCAGCAGAGGCCTCCAGACTCTAATGTATCCTGCCTTCTGGTTTTGCAGGGACTTCAGTGCTAGTGCTAATGAAGTTCAGATCGACAAAACTAAGCCTCTGTGGCACAACTACTTTCTATGTGGATTTAAAGGAATTCAGGTAAATTGCTTTATAAGGCATCTACTAGCATTTGTGTACGATGTCTCTTATATCAAGATTTATTTTATCTACTCTATCATTTTTGTCTCCTCTCAGTACCAACTGCTGCTTCTGTTCTATTTTGCTAGTTTATATACTTCAAGGGATGGGTAGAAGTGAGCTTTTCTGAGTGGTGTTCACAGGGGGCAGCGTGGCTGTTCATAAAGCAGGTGTGTCTGACATCTTTCTGGTTTTTAAATTTTTGTTCAAATTTTCTTTTGAAGGATACATTCTAGTAATATTGTTCACCTTTCGTTCTAGGGATATAGAGGCGTGTACTGTAATAGGACTTATAGTAGAACAGCCTGGGGTTTAAATCTAGATTTTACCCAGCAGTATTAATTTAACCTCTTAAGTGTCAGACTCATTATCCATAAAATGATGTCACGTCTATCCCGACAAAGAGTTGTTGAAAGGATTAAACAATGCAACAATGCTAACCTCTTTCAGCAGGTTAGTCACTGAAATAAACTTCTTTTAAAAAATATTGCATTACAAAGAGGTTGTGCTTATTTAAAGGAAACAAATCCTACAGGAGGTCAGAAAGCCTTAACAAGTTTACATAAGGATTAAACAATGCAGGATGCACAGTAGGCATTCAATAAATGGTGACTAATTGTTAATACTAATACTACTTCAGATGGGGTTCAATAAAGATGTAGTGAAATTTATTAAAATAAGTATTTTCCTAGAAACTTTGAAAAATTATCTTGAACATTTCTAATATCATGTATGAGAACAAGAAAATAAAATATTTTCACTCTCCTAATTTAAAGATCAATTTGATTTGCTGATGAAAATCTATGTTTTAGAGAGCTTGTGCTCCCTACTGCATGGCAGTCCTATCCAAAACTATGTCTTGAGTAGCCTAGGTGTCAGTGGCCTCGCTGTAAGGGAAATGCATCACATTTATTTCTGATGTGTAGTCTTGTACTGTAATTATGGTGATTCTGGTCTTGGAGTGAGTCCCTTTCTCCTTCCCTTCCTTCTTTCTCTCCTTTGTTCGTTGTTCTTTCTGTCTTCATTCCCCTAGACACATGGTAATAACTTATGGGGAAAGTTATTGGCAGGTTTCAAATCCTCACGTGACTTGGGTTGTCATATGCATTAATGAGAATTACAGTATTTGGAAGCATCTACCTGGCAAGTGCAATCGGATCTTCCTTAGAGCAACACGCCTTTGGGAGCATATGGGTAAAGTGACCCAAGTAACACATGTGGCCTTGTTTTGCTTTTGAGAATTTCAGGACTTAAAGCCTTCCTTTTTGGTTCGACAACTTATATGCAAAAGCAGGTTCGTACAATGAATTTTTGGCAGGAAAGTAATGTGAAGTTAGCCTGTTCAGAAAACTTCAAATTCGGATACTAGAAAGTTCCAGAGGATAATCCGTTTATACTAAATTGTTCGGGATGGAGCTATTACAGAATTTGGCAAAGCCCATTTGCATTTTTTAATCTGTTGTACATTTTGATTTAAACATTGCACGATAAGTTTAAGTACGATTCACATCCACGACACCGTGTGAACCAGTTTATTGTTAAATGTATAGCATTCAACAGGATTTTTTTCTTTTTCCTTTTTTTTTTTTTAACAAGCTGTCTTGCTGTTCCGTACGAAAGGGCAATGGCAGCAGCAGTGTTCCAGTTTATAACTTGTTCCTGTTTCTGGAAAGAAAATTTTTAGATGATCTGAAATCAAGAAGGGAAGTACATCCAATGAGCCTCTTCTTTTGTGGTGCATGAATTTTGCCAGTTTAGGAAAAAAAGGACAAAAAGAAAATTAAGGGAGAAATCTAGTCTTTTAATGTGTAGAGTTTTGTTGTTACTTTGATTATTCTAACTAGTTTACTGAAATTCCTCCCTAGAATCATATGTATGATGAAATGCATAGTTATGTAATATGATATTTTTTTGTACTTTGGTCTCAGGCCGTTTGAGTAATTTGCAAACACAATGGTACTCGATGAGGAAGTGGCCTTGGGTTTATTTTTAATCTCAAACCACAAAGGTTATATGATGTGATCACCCTAAGTGTCATCCTACACATTTGTTTAAGTGTCCTAGAGCTCTCCGTCTTTAGCTCAGAGTCTGGTCATTTCTTTGGGCTTTCCTCTTTGGGGAAGTAGAGTTTCCCTGCTTTGTTTAGAGTCTGCATTCTTATTTGTGGCTGGATTCTAATTTGGCTGTCTTGAAAGCTACCATATGGCTAAATTGTATGTATAAACTCACGTACAAAATCTGGATTTCCTCAGAGAGCTGACTTACATTAAATCACAGTGACAGTGTGCTGGCCCAGGTTTCTGATTGCAGTGTGGAAGTTCTCAACCAGAGATCGGAGACCTGGGTTCTATCCCTACCTCCCTACATACGATCTTGGGGAAGTCTCTTAATTTTTCGGTGCCTAGGTTTTTCCATAGGTAAAACAGAAATGAGAATGTTCGGGGCTCTTTTTCTCTGGAGAATTGTCTGAAGAAAGACACTCCACAGGAAAAGGCCACTGCTTGGTGTTAGACTTTGATAATCAGAGTATTGGGAAGTGGTACATAGTGATTTAACCCGTCTTGCTAATTATTGTGTATTTCTTTTCTTGCTACTTGAGAAACTTAATTATAACTGTTTAATATTTTTCCATATCTGTTGAAATCAATTCATGTTAAAAAAGATAATTCAATTTTAGGAAATGAATCAGTAGCTTTTTGTTGAACAAAATGAAAAGTAATCTTCGTGTTACCATATTCTTATGTAAAATGTCATAGACTCAACTGAATTGAATTGCACAAGTAGTTTCTATAAAGAGCATACTGAGTCCATTGATAGACTGTTGCTCACTGGGGGGTAAGAGAACACTTTGCTGCTCCTTGAATCCAAAACCAGTGTTACTAGTGCTGTCTTTTCTTCTATTCTTAGGAACACTTTGGTCTTAGTAACCTGCCTGGAATGAATTGCTTGGTAGATGGGACCATCCCCCCGAGTTCCGGCCTCTCCAGCTCCAGTGCTGTGGTCTGCTGTGCTGGCCTGGTGACGGTCACAGTTCTGGGCGTGAACCTGTCCAAGGTAACCCACTTGAATGTGTTAGCCTCACAGCAACTTCTTTCTGTGAAGACATTAATACTTGAATCTCAGCATTAGAATGTCTTCCTTTGATTAAAAAACTTTATCTGAAAGGACTATGCATGCATCTATTTAACTTAACAAATCCTGCTTGTGATAAACCACTCTAAAGTAGCTGATGTCTTCCAAACAGAGAGCGGATCTGTGAATAACTACGTTAAAATGCTCTTAAGAGCATTTTAATAAGCACGGAGTTTGAATGCAGGGATATCTTTTAGATCACCTCATTAACCAGTTTAGAAAAAAAAATTCTAGGCCTCATGGTTGGACCTGCTTATTTTCACCTGAAACCTTACATTAAATATTTGACAAGCAGTGGGTAAAAACCAGGCAGTAGAGGAATTGAACTGCATATCTGTTTATGCCAGCAGGTTAGTCACTGAAATAAACTTCGTTTTTTAAAAAAATATTGCATTACAAAGAGGAAGTGCTTATTTAAAGGAAACATAAATCCTACAGGAGGTCAGAAAGCCTTAACAAGTTTACATAAATCTCTGACTTTGCAGTTCAGAGGCAGGTGTGCTCAGGTTTAATTAATGCTTTGATTTCTGGTTCATATAAAATGTTGTCATAGGTTCTTTTTATACCACGTGCCTATACTACCAAGTTTATAAATAGTTTGGGAACACAGTCTGGGCATCAGGCAGATCAAAAGAAAAGACATCTACATGCTTAATCTTTCTTAAGCCTGTTTAAACTTCCAGTTTGAAAATTTTATGTGTAAGAGGAGAGAGAAATGTGTAAGAAGAATGCAAAGCCTCAGGTAGAACTTTAGCTGTCATGTGTAACTGATTATACATTAATTGACCCTTTGTAAGCAATGGCTTATTTGGAGGGAAGGATGACTTGTTCCGATTTGTTTGAGAGGAGAGAAGGAAAGCAAGGGCATGAAGGTTCATTATGAAATTTGTTCATCTAAAAATCATTTTTATTTTTAAATTTTATTATTCTTATTTTTAGAGAGAGGGGGAGGGAGTGGGGGGGAGAAACATCGATATGAGATGGAAGCATAGACCGACTGCCTTTTGCAAGCACTCTGACCAGGGACTGACCCTGCAACCTTAGGTTCAATGTGCCTTGACCTGGAATCAATTGGCAGCCTTTTAGTTTGCAGGATGATGCCAAACTAACTGAGCCATACTGGCCAGGGCCATTTAACCATTATTTATCTAGTAGCTACTTTGCACCAGATAATGTTCAAAGCATTGGAGACATACGAGGTACAGTTTTAACCCTCACAGTGCTTATCATCAAAAAGGGGAATAGGAACACGTAAATAAGCAGCTATAAAAGATTGTGATAAATGGGTAAGTAGTGTGCCGGGCAGCAGATTTAATCCAGATTTAGAGAGCAGAGGACAGCTAAACTGAGATTTAGGGATTTGTAGATTTAGTCAAGAAATACTGATAGCATGATAACACTAATAATATCTACTAAGCAAATATTGGGTACAGGGAACATCTTGAGGAAATGTCTAGAGGAAGAGTGATCCTGGTTTATTGGAAGAATTAAAATAAGCATAATTTGGCTGGAACACAGTCCTTTGGATGATAGAGTGGAAGACTAGATGCCTGTAAACCATGTTGAGCAGCTCAGACTTCATCCTGATAGCAGTGTGAAACCATCACAGACTTTTAGGGAGAGGGTGACATGGTTGTATCTCAGAAACACCACCGTGGCTTTATTATGAAATCTAGATTTGAAGGTAAAAGTGTTAGCAGTGGGGAGATGATTTGGTTTAGGGAAGTAACAGTGAAAATAGAGAGAATTAAATGGTAAATTTAAGGTCCAGCTCAGACAGACTCAGTAGGCCTTGATTATTGACTGGGCATGAGGATGGGGGATGGCAAAGAGTCAAGAATTACACTCTGGTCTCTGGCTTGGTGTGAGTCACTGGAATAAATAATAGAGGTGGTGGAGGGGAGGCAGGGACTGGCTGAAAGAAGGTGAAGGGAATGGTCAAAAACATATATGAAGGACCCATTATATGTGTGTGTGTGTGTGACCAATCTTCAAAAGGCCAGAAAAGTGAAAAAAAATGTATATGTGTATATACATATGTGTGTGTACATATACAAATGAAAAACATATATACATATATGTTTTTCATTTTCCTGGCTCTTTGATGGTGTGAATATCTAAGGAAGAAAAATAAAGAAAACCTGAACCTTTGGAATTAATTCTAGATGTTCCTTTGCTTTCAAAGTAAAAAATGCAAATGTTTTGTCATAAAAACAGACACATAGATCAATGGAATAGAATAGAGAACCCAGAAATAAACCCACAAGTATATGATCAATTAATTTATGATAAAGAAGGCAAGAATATACAATGAGGAAAGGACAGTCTCTTCAATAAATGGTGTTGGAAAAACTGGACAGCAACATGCAAAAAATGAAGCTGGACCACTACCTTATATGATACACAAAAATGAACTCGAAATGAATTAAAGACCTGAATGTAAGACCTGAAATCACAGAACTTCTAGAAGAAAACTTAGGTGGTAATTTCCTTGACATGGTCTTGGTTATGATTTTTTTGGATTTGACATCAAAAGCAACAGCAACAAAAACAAAAGTAAACAAGTGAGACTACATCAAACTAAAAAGCTTCTGTACTACAAAAACATGAAAAGGCAATCTACTGAGTCAGGGAAAATCTTATATCTGATATGGGATTAATATCCAAAGTATATGAAGATCTCATACAACTCAACAGCAAAAAAAACAAACAATCCAACTGAAAGTGAGCAGAGGATCTGAATAAATATTTTTCCAAGGAATACATGCAAATGGTCAACAGGCACATGTAAAGATGCTCAATATCCCTAATCATCTGAGAAGTGCAATGAAAACCACATTGAGATATAACCTCACACTTGTTCAAATGGCTATTATCAAAAAGACAAGACATAACAAGTGTTGGAGAGAATGTGAAGGAAAGAGAACTCTTGTGCACCATAGATGGGGATGGAAATTGGTGCAGCTACTATGGAAAACAGTATGAAGGTTCCTCGAAGAATTAAAAATAGAACTACCATCATCCAGAAACTCTGCTTCTGGGCATTATCTGAAGAAAATGAGGACACCAACTTAAAAAGATATATGCACTCCTATGTTCATTGAAGCATTATTTATAATAGCCAAGATATGGAAATTACCTAAGTATTTCTCATGGATGAATGGATAGAGGGGATGTGGTATACATATATTGGAATGTTACTCAGCCATAAAAAAAGAATGAAATCTTGCCATTGGCAACAACATGGATTGATGTGAGGGCATTATACTAACTGAAATAAGACAGATAGAGAAAAACAAACACTGTATGATCTCACTTACATGTGAAATCTTAAACCCAACCAACTAACCAACCAACCAAGTTCAAAAATACAGAGAACAGATTGGTGGTTGCCAGAAGTGGGGCAGGGTGGGTGGGTAAAATGGGTGGGGGAGCTCAATGGAGATGTGATGTACAGCATGGTATGCATAGTAAGTAACACTGTATTTCAGAAACAAAAGTTGCTAAGAGAGGAAATCTGAAAGTCCTCACAAGAGCTATGTATGGTTTTGGATGTCAACTAGATTCATTGTTGTGATCATCTCACAATATATATAGATATCAAATAATTGTGTTGTGTGCCTAAAAATAATATACTGCTGTATGTCAATTAAATCTCAGTTAAAGAAAATCGAATTAAAAAAATCAAATTAAGAACTGACTCCAATTCCTGTAAAGAACAATATGTAACCCTGGCTGGTATAGCTCAGTGGATTGAGCTCGGGCCTGTGAACCAGAGGATCGAGGTTTGATTCCCAGTCAGGGCACATGCCTGGGTTGCAGGCCAGTTCCCAGCAGGGGATGCACAAGAGGCAACCGGACATTGATATTTCTTTCCCTCTCTTCTTTCCCTCTAAAGATAAAGAAATAAAAAATTACTTAAAAAAAGAACAATATGTATATTTTAGCTTTCTCTGCTAGTCTCAATTGTATTGATACTGCTTTATTTTCTAGGGCTGAGCATACTTATTTGGAGTGAGATAGAATTTTGACTAAAAGAAAGCCCCTAATTTGCTTGCTCTTTAGTTAACTGCCAACTGTATACTTGACTCATAAAAACTGTAGAACATAAGAATTCAAGGAGAGAACTTTAGAGGTGAGCTAGTTCAAAAAAATTTTTTTCCACTGAAGTATCAGTCAGTATCCTGTTAGGAAATAAATGGCACACAAGCTATAACTGAAGAAAGGTTAATAAAGAGACAATTGCTAGATTTGTGGGCAGGGTCAAGGGACCCAACTAGGGTTGGCTCCCTGGTGAAGCCAGAAGCCATCACACTTCTGAGGCTGGAGCTGGCACTGGAGAGTAACGTTTCCAGATATGCAGGGAGGCAGAGAAAGAGTGAGCCGGGTGGTGATGGCAGTAGGTGGGGAGCTGTCCGTAGAGGCCAGTCTCCTGGAGTACAGAGCTATGTGAGAATGGAGGGGCAGGAAGGCAAACAGAGAATAACTAGCGAAACTGGTAAAAAAATAAGTCCCACAGGAGATTGGTGACTAATGCTCTCTCAATTGATAACTAACTCTCTCCCATTTATATCTACATTCAGTGTGCCCTATACAATTGCACACAACAATAGCTGCCCAAGAAGGTAGTCCTAATTAGCATACCTCATGTGGATCTTGTTAATTCATTAATGAACTAAATGTTGTGTGCTCGAAACCAGTCTAATGAGATGTCTAAGTCACCCTGAAAGCCTGGAAGACAGAAAGTATGAATCGGAATGGAACTAATGGAAGAATGTGGTGTAATAAAAGACCTATGAAATAGAAAAGGCTAGAGGATTCAAGAGGACAGAATGAAGACATATCTACTCTTTCCATAGCTCATTCTTTGTTTCTTACGTAATCATCCCCAAACGATAGGGAAACAAGAAGGCATAAGTTCC